TGTAAATCAGGTAAGTAGGAATCTCGCCTACAGCATGAATAGATTTTAAAGAAAAAAAATTACACATGTTATATATATACATGTTTATGCTTTAAGTATTGTATGCGATGCCATGTCATGCTGCATACACCTTAATAAGTCAAGAGGAATTTATAAGAATAATCTCAGTTGAGTGCCGTACCAGCCTCCGACCTAAGGGAGGTAACTCAAGCTCCACAAGGGAGAAAAAAAAATAATGTCCTTCGACTTAAGGGAGGCATTCAAGTTATAATCACGGTGTCGCGGAGGACCTTGCAAACCCTCACGTCCCGATGATTGCGCGCAAGTGGTACGTGAGCACTCGGGCCCATCAGTAAGAAAGATAAGATAAGATAATAAGACTATGATAAGACATCATAATTAAGCATAATCAGCTCATGCATAGTTATTCATGTGTACTTACAATTATTTTGTGAGATATAGTTCCTACTTGCTGAGCGAAAGCTCCATCAGATATGTTCATGCTGTAGGTAAGAAACCTATCAGCAATTCTTGAAGGGCAATGGCGAGCGGCAGACGAATGGTGGAGATGGGAATGGATACCGCTCCCGCAGTTATCTTCCGCCGTAAGTTTAAGAAAAAACATGTATATGTCTATATGATTCAAAGGTTTCAAGCATGTATGTTTAAAAAGTATACGTACATATGTATGTTAAGAAAACTGAGGCTGTAGCTAGCAACCCTAGTTTTGAGTATTTAAGTTTTAGAACGTTGCAACAGTGCATGCAACAAATAAATGAATTTTAAACACGACGATTTAAATGATTGATTTTAAAAGGACTTTAAGATGTACTTGAATTTAAGATTTCTCACGAAATCCATTTTAAAGTCAAATGAGATTGCCCGATTGAATTGGTTAGTTTTAGAAAGGCTTTGAAAGAGTATTTGAAATAAGAGTTCAAACGCTGCTCCGTTTAAAGGATATTTCTAAAAGGTTTTATCTTAACTAAAATTAAGAAAAGCTTTAAGAAATTTAGTGATTCATTCTTTTGAAATTATTGTTATGAACTATGAAAGTATTTCTTCTTATATATATAAAAAAAAAATGTTTCGCAAATTTTAAGAAATCTCAATAAGTACGAGTTAAAAGTAAGTTATGGTGACGACCTCTTAAGGAGGGTCGTCACAACATGAGACTGCTCCAAGACACAAAGTAACTAAAACGTCACCAAACCTACAAACAAAATATAAAAAACATGCGTAAAGCTCACAAAAATCCAGAGAACCAACTCTATATTAAGCTTAAATGATACTTAATTCGTGAGTAACTCATTCATCAGACAGCTCAAAGAAAGGACAAGTTAGGAGGCTTAAATTATCTCCTATAAATAGGGATTTGATAGTAGGTATTGTATCTCTCCGCATTCTGCTAAGCTACTCTCTCTTTAGATTCTCTCTCTAAATCGCTTTCATATCTCTCGTTTATTTTTCTGGACATTATTTTCTAGTTCTAGCATTCAATTGACTCGAGTCAAATCGGCCTGCGATTCCCGATTGACACTCGAAAGCAGTTATTAACTCTCTAAACATGTAGAATTCACCCTTTTACATTATTCTTAATAGGTTTATTTAAGAAACCCTACTTCATTTCTCCCCTACTTTTTGTTTCTTTTTCAAAATTTTATTGTTTTATTTAGAAAAAAGATTAAATTGGGATTTTATATTTTTACCCCTCTACCCGAGGTCAGCTCAGGAGTCAATCGAGGTAGACAACGGGGTCCTACTCCTACGTGTTCTCACTGTTGACAGCTGAGCTCGACTCAAATTTTGATCCAACGGCTATATAGTCTCCAAGGTTCCTCGTGATAGAATCTTACTTGTTAATCTTATGAGCACATGAGAACTTTTTATCACTAAAGGTTCAAATCCAGTACGCTTATTAAAGTCTTTACTAGTGCGGTTACATCTACACAATACGCACTTACGAAAGCTTTCACAACAGTAGGAATCTTTTTCTTTTTCTAAAGGACTGTGGAAATACGATAAATCTTTTCCATGAATACATAAACAACAACCTTTTTGTTCATTTTAACGCTGCTTCCCAATTCAAATTACTATTCTCTCTGAAGTTTTTGAAGTCAGCAAGCTAAACTTTGTCCATGGCTAACCTCGCCGGCTCTTCCTCTGTTCCTCCGGCAATACAAGCTATAACTCGTTCATATATATATATATATATATATATATATATATGTCCCTTTCTTAATATCTAATAAGCTTTTATTAATCATATCCATCAGGAAAATACCGACATAGAGGAATTGATATATGAAGCTATATCAAATTGGGTGTCTTACCTTAACAAAGAAAAAAAAGAATCATTTCGGAAGGTGATCCGAACTTCCTGCGATCACTTGGTGTCCCTTTCGTCTGATCTCATTCACATCCCCACACCAGATACTCCTTGCCAAGTGTAAGGCATTCTTACAAAATTTTTGCTACTATCACATTTACGCTTATGAACAATCTGTTTATTTCTTCTTTCATTAACCAATTTTTTATTTTTTATTTTTAAAGTTGTCAGGACCCAAATGACAATTGGCTCTGTTTAAGCTGCAAAGGGGTTTTCTGTAGCCGTAATGTTAACATGCACTTTCAAGACCATTATCGCAAGACACTTCACTGCTTAGCATTTCAAAACAAGTACTATCTAATTGCCTATTTCTATAGAAGTTAGAACTCTCTCTCTTGTTTAGGTTCGAATTTATTTGTCTAATTTCCTAAATGTGGCGTTTGAAGAACAGAGATTTAGTATTTTGGTGCAACTCCTGCAATGCTTTTTTAGATGCGCAAGTGATCGAGGAACTCCGTCCTCTCTACATAAAGGCTTACATACAAAAATTCGGTGAGGCCCCCACCTTTTACTTTTAGGGCAGTTTCACACCCACCATGGCATTGGCGAATATATCACCAAAGAGATTTAATCCTTAACTTCAATAATAGATGCTTCAATGTTAGCCCTTTATATTTTCATCTGTTGTGTACGTACTTTGCTCATATTGAATTTCTATGTGTCTTTTCGAAATATCATGTTTTACCATGTCTTCAAAAATGCTATAAACTTTACATGTATTTTCTTTTTCATGTTAAAATTCTTCCAGGCATAGATTCCGAGAATCAAATTTTTGGAAATGGTCATATTAGCATTCTGAACTTATTTCCAAACACTAGAAAGCAGACGCTGTAAACTTCCTTTTGTTTTATTAAAATAGTTTCTGACATTTAAATTTTCAATTGAAATTCCATAGCCCTAAAGGGTCCTTTAGCAGCGGCACGACAAAGAAAAATACAGACCAGCTCATCATGTTCCACGGTTCAATCCATTGAGAACAAAGAGGACAAAAGCTGTGTAATGAAGACGGTAGGTGGAGGTTTATTTTTTGCGTTTTATATTGAAGAGAGAAAAAGGAGATTAAGTTTAATCTTCTAAATTAAACCCGTTTATATGGTTTTTGTTTTTGGGTTGATTTATTTTTAGTCCCTAAACAATATGATAAATCCTATTTTAGTCTCCGTTTTGATTGTCATTGGGCGAGTCCTCCATCTATCAAGTTAATTTTGTAATTTTACATCTTAGGGCACAACTAACAGTCGGATGGATAAGAGGTATGAGTTTGGACATTTTGGTAGATTAGAGACTCATTTTAAAGTGTTCTAAAGGTCAGGATCAAAATGAGATTTTTGCCTATAACTCAGGAACTAAAAGTGAATATGACCTTGAAGATTGTGATTTTATTTTTTTGACTCTTCCTTTTAGTATATTCATCTAATTTTTACTTTGCTAAAGATTTTTTTTAATCTATTTTTATGTTTTAGAATCCATCTCAAACCAACAACTCCTGCAACGGAGAAATAACATTTTTGAATTGGAAATGTAAATGCGGGGAGACAGCAGATTTGAAGATATCTGAAACAACAGAAAATCCAAATAAAGTTATTTCTTGCTGCCCAAAAAAAGGGGATGGTTGCAGTTTTTTTGCACGTTGGGAACGAGATGATCCAGCATGCTCTATTGTTGGGGGCTCATCTTCGAATCGAGAAATTAGTTTGAATTTTAAGAATGCTGCAGCTCAAGTTCCTTATATTGGTGCTTCAACATCAAACCCGGGGATTCTTGAACGGATCGTGGCTTTGGAAGCAAACGTTGCTGCTGGAAAAATGCTTGTTTTGTTCAATTTCTTGGTTGTGTTTCTGTGCTTATTTCTTGTGGTCTGTGTAATGGTTAAAATTTAAGTGTTTGTATTCATCTATCTATGCTAAGTTGTTGGGATAATGTTCTTTTTTTCTTTTATATTATTTTAGTATGGATGTTAAAAAATGTTGAAAAACACGGATTTCCTCTACTAGGAAATATTGTATTATATGATAAAGATTATACACCTAGGAAATCTTGTGTTACTGACTTGTATCATGATTTGTAGAGTCTATATTAGGATAGCTTTTGTTTCTTGGGAATTTCTCTGATTATCCTTGAAAAAGTGGACTACCGGTAGGTAGTCCTCAACTTTTCAACGGTCAGATACGCATCAAAATCTGTCTGTTATACATTCTTTTCAAATCTAATGTGATTGTGACTAAATCTAACGGTCAAATTTAGAACTACCGGTAGACCGGCTTACTGGAGAAGGTCGGTCCCGTCTTTCTTCTTTTGTTGCTGATTATGTGTATGACTCTAGGGCTGTTCCTCTATTATTTGAATGAGTTATTTATCTTTTTACATCCTATATTTTATTTTTATTTAGAAATATACTATCGGTTTTTAATCTCATTAAAATTATACTTTTGGTTTAAGGACTAAATTGCTAAACAAGCAAAGTTCAAAATTCTTTTTTTAAAAAGTGAAAGATAATAAATAAAGAAAAGCAAAGTGCCATTTATAAGAGACAACCTCTAGACAAATATACAGTTAAAAAAGGGCACAAAAAGGTAAAGCGCTAAAAAAGTGGAGTTAAAGGAAATAAAATTTCAAAGGGTTTTAAGGTCAAGTGACTATGGTAGAGAAATAGAGCAAAAAAAAAAAAAAAAGTAGGGGAAAAAAAAAGGAAGCCATGGAACCGATTGGACTACCCAAAGTGAATGGTGAAGACCATACGGCTCTTTTATTATAGTTATTACTTATTAATATTAATATTGAGACCTTCTTGATAGATTGGTAGGGTCAATTCTTGATAATTATTTTTGGTCAAAATTACTTCAGATTAAAAAATATATATAAAACAGTTAATTTTTTATCTGATGACTAAAAACTAAAAAAATAATAATAATTAATTTTTTTTAAGCCTACTAGAGAATTTCCCATTATGATTAAGACTAGATAAGGATTAATTTTGGGATTTCACATCTTTACCCCTCTGCCCAGTCAATCGAGGGGTCCTCCTCCTACTTGTTCACACTGTTGACGGCTGAGCTCAACTAAAATGTTGATCCAACGGCTATAGATAGGCTCAATCCCAAGATGTTTCCAAGGTTCCTCGTGATGGAATTTTCCTTTTCTTAATCTTATGACAACTTGGGAGCTTTTTATCGCTAAAGATTTAATGCACTCACTAAACGTCTTTTAACTAGTGGGGTTACAACAACAACATTGAAGCTTTCACAACACTAGGAATCGTTTTGAATTTCTTTTTCTAAGGGAGTAAGGAAGTGCGACGAATCTTTTGTGTGTGAATACACAGACGGGAAACTTTTTATTCATTTCAACACCGCTTCCCAATTCTGAGATACAGATAGTTTTTGAAGTCAAGAAGCTAAACTTTCTCCATGGCTAACTGTACTGGCGATTCCTGTGTCCCTCCGGTTATAAGCTACAACCATTGAAAACTCATTTATATATATATATATATATATAAATAATTTCTTTTCTTAATCTCTAATAAGCTTTTATTGATCATATTCATCAGGAAAATACCTACATAGAGGAATTGATATATGAAGCAATATCAGGTTGGGTGTCTTACCTCCACATAAAGAAATCAAGTCGGGGTGAGCTTCGAACCTCCTGCGATCACTTGGCATCCCTTTCGTCTGATCTCGCTCACATTCCCAAACCACATACTCCTTGCCAAGTGTAAGGGATTCTTATAAAAAAAATTTTGCTACTATCGTATATGAATCATCTGTTTATCTCTTCTTTTTTTCTGAACCAATTTAAAAAAAAAAAAAAAGTTGTCAGGACCCAGATGACAATGTGCTGTGTTTATGCTGCAAGGGAGTTTTCTGTAGCCGGCTTGTTAACAAGCACAATCAAGAACATCGTGGCAAGACAGACCACTGCCTTGAATTTGTCTACAGGTACCAGTATCTAATTGCCCATTTCAGAATGTTAAGCAGAAAGATATCTAGATTGACAATACAACATATTTTGTTGAATATACAATATTGAAAAACTTATAACTGCTTGAAACATAACCAAATTCGGCACCCTTTTCAGATTCCATAAAACTTGATATTTAGACACCTAACACTTTAATTAGTACCAAAAACGTGTCCTCATAAGCCCTAACAATTTACTTTAATGGGGGCAGCATAAGCAACAACATGGCTCGACAATAGCAACCTAAGCTCCCTCAAACAAGGTAGATTTGGTTTAGCACCAACTCATTACCAGATTATCACAGAGAGACCAAGTTGACCAAACCAGAAAAGTGAAAACTTGCTAAACAGGGCAGGGCACAAACACTACTATTGAGGACAGAAAAGAGTGGAAGAAATTAAAAAGAAAAAGACAATATCAGATGATAATCATTGGTAGGCAGAATACAAAACAAGACATTATCAATAAATCATGGGAACCATATACAAAGAAAAACTCATGTACCTTGATGGCAAAGAAACAACCAGAGAGCTTTTACTGCAGGACGGCAACAAGCTCTGAGGAAGCGACGATCCGAAAAGACCAGCCACGAAATATATGGAGCTGCAGCGACAGGCCTAACCTAACGGAGATCTTACTTTCAAATTCATAGTTTTTAGATTTGCGATTGGGGTTGGGGAAAATAAGAAGCCACACGGAGCCCTATATATCTAAGGGCTTGTTCTTTTAGAATTTAACTTGAGTATAATTCTTAAATTGAATTTGAATTATAATGTGAATTAAAGTTGTAATTTGAGTTTGTGTTTAGTTGTGTACATTTGAGTTATGGTTTGAAATAAAAATCTTTTTAAGTTTGTGTTTGAGTGAGTCAAAACTTAAATTTGTATTTAGATAGTATTTTAATAAAAACTCAATGCTGATGAAAAATTTTAATAGGGTATATGGGTGAGGTTTTATTCATCTTTTCGTTGTCAACGCATAAAAAAAAGCATCTCAATCAGAATTAAAACAAAAAAGTTATAGCATTTTTAATAATAGAAAAAACACTATTCATTAATTTGAGTTCGAGTTTCTGAACTGGAGTTGAAGGAAAAATTTGAACTCGAGTTCAAACTCGAGTTTAAACTCAAGTTCAAACTTAAAAAAACATGAACTCGAATAAAGTTGTAACTTGAGTTGCCTTTTTTTGAGTTTTATTCATCTTAAAATTACGGAGTTATTCTTTTACAACGAAACTCAATAAAAGTTTGAAGTCAAGTTACAATTTTATTAAAATTTATGTTCTTTTGTAAAATTTGAGTTTGAACTCGAGTTTGGGGCTAAACTCAAGTTCAAATTTTCCTTTTAACTCGAGTTTATAAACTCGAACTCAAGTTAATAACAATTTTTTTTCTATTTAATCAGTGTTTTTAATTCTGATTGAGATGTTTTTTTCTATACATTCACAACGAAAAGAATAAAACTCCACTCATATATTAAAATTTTTTATCATAATTGAATTTTTATTAAAATATTATCTAAATACAAATTTAAATTTTGACCCATCCAAACACAAACTCAAAAAGATTCTCAGTTCAAATCATAACTCAAATGTGCACATCCAAATACAAACTCAAGTTACAATTTTAACTCAAGTTATAACTCAAACTCAACTCAAAATCATCACTCAAGTCACTTTAACTCAAAAATACAAAAGAACAACCCCAACATTTGAAGTTGGGGTGCCTTTTTGTTGTCCCTGTTGCTCTTTTCCTCTCACTTTTTGTATTGTCTAGGTTTTTTTTTTTTTTTTTTGTTGGTTGTTGTTTGCTTTTGTATGCCTTATCTACCGAAAAAAAGACGAACATTTAAACAAATAATGGTTCCATTCACACATCTTTTTACTCTATGTAGGGGTTAGATTTAATCACTTAATCTCAACCGTACACGTGTTAACTCAAGTCGACTAGACTTGAATACCATCATTTAAGAGGACCTCTCAAAATGATTCAATAGCTCAAGAAGATTAGAAGACGATCCAGAGTCAAGATCAGCTCAGAACGACTTCAGCATCTGGAGTCGACTACGACTGCTCAGCAAAGTTGAGGAGTCGTCTTCTTCAAAGAATATTCTAAGAATCTTTTGAAGAATCTTTCATTTTGAGATTTTAGGAAGCTACCAAATCGTACCAAAGGCGGTCCAAATCTCTAAAAGATACGGATTCTACAAGGAAAGTTGAATAAAAACACAATCAGAAAAGTCAACTTTATTCAAGAAAGGGAAACTAACCTTAATTGAGAAACAAAAGTTTGCAGCTATAAAAGGAAGACTTCCTCAGCGTCCAGAGCATGATTCCAAGACACACAAGTTCTTGCACTACCTCTGCAACAAGCCCTAGAGCCGCCCTCTCTCTCTTTTCCTCCATTATTGTCTCTCTCAAACTTTATCAAGCTTTTTCATACTATTCTCTACATACATAGTGCAAACAACAGACACTACAATGAACGTACCCTAAATTATCAAGGAACCACTATAAATGTCAGTCTCTCTTCTTTATTTTTTGTACTTTATTTTATCTCTCATACTCTAAATCATCTTAGGCAAACGGATCAAACATCTACCACTCTGCGAATTAATCATTATCCCCTAATACAAATTCTAATGTTGGAAATTAACCTCCACACCCTCCACACTCATTTCCAAATACAAACTACACAAAATTTTAAAATAATTAAATTTATTTTTTACTCATCCCTATTATTCTAAAATTACCCTTAAATATTTTCATAAAATTATTAATCTTTACAGCTTTATTTTCTTTTCACATTCACCTTTCCATGTTACTTCTTTACATTAATATTTCCTTTCTCTATCTCTCTCTATTCTTTTACGGTTTTTGATAATGTTTTTTTTTTCTCAATAAAACTTTAGGCAAGAGTATTTTTCATACATAAAAGAAAATTTACTATTAACTAAATAAAGGACATTTGCAATAGAAAATTTAGTATTATATTCATAAATAGCAATGTCAAAATA